TGGGCCTTGCATCAATTAATTTTAATTATAGATGCATCTGCAGATGTTTATCATACAATGATTTCATTCAATTGATCTCTTCCTATTTAGAGAACGCTATAGAGTGAATTAGATGTATCTTCTATTATACTTCGTATATACAAGGCCTAAGTTTCTCAAACGGTTCTCCAATCAAATAATCACCATCGAGATACGCCTTTTCGTACGTCAAGCGACGATTTATCCGAAAGGCTATTCAACCTATTCAACTCTCTTGTGCATATATTGTGGACCAGGTGGTCGAACGCGTCACCCACTCCCACGTGCTTGCGGTCCGCGTCATTCTTTTCTCCAAACGTACACGGTATCGGTAATTGGCCGACCGGAGTCATAACGACACCACCTCGCGGTTCGAGGTATCGAATCGAACACGCCGCGTTTTCCATAAGCGATAAGCGATCGCGCGGTCCACGCGCGCCGCGCGTGAGAAGATGCGCCGCGCCGCAGATGCGGAAGCGCCTCGGTAGAGAGCCGCGCGCCACGACGGAACCTAAATACCTATCGCCCGTTAGGCGTGCACGCTCGCGCGCGCGTTTGCACGCTTTGGCGTGTGGAGGTGAGATAAAACGCACGCGGTCCACGTCGAGGTCGCGACGCGTGAGATCGCTGCATGCTGCGGCGAGGAAGAGAAGGTGGAGGCGGCGGAGGAGGAGGAGGCGGCTCGCGGTGCAACGTTCGTTTGCACGCTCGCACCTGACTCACCTCACCGCGCGCGCGCGCGCGCGCATACACACACACACATACACAATACGCTCACGCAAACGTATACACACGCTACGTGCGCACACGTGTTTACGGTATTTGATCGTCGTTCACTTAGCACGGCCCAGTGACCCGTATAACCTAAGGTCTGCTTATGATCGAAGAGGTTTCCGTGTATCTTTCCCTTAACGGGACGGTACGAGACCCAGTGTTGCATCTTACGAGGATCGTTTCGGTAGTAATAGTCGAGTGGCGTATCCAATCCATTAACGATATTCAAATCAATGCAAGTGACGTTTTTTAGTTCGCGCGTGAGACTTTTTCCACTTTACGCCGACAACTTCGCGGGCGATATCAGAACCGTGTTCGCCGTAAGATGAGAATTTAGCATTAAACTCTATGGCAAAAGGTCTTGATTCTTGTAATACTTTCCGCGCTGTGTGAATATTTATAATCTCACGAGTCTAGAATCTTTTGAAAGTTCATTTCGTATGGATACATCGGCTCTATTTAAAATTCTACATTGTGTTTTTATTCATGTCAAGCAATGTTGGCAGAGATGTTGCAATTATGGTGAACCAACGGCTTAAAAAGTCGCGTACAAGTACCGCCAAGAGGAGATCAGGGGAGTATCAGGATGAAGGGGAGGAAAATACGACGATAACGAGATACTCATCGCATGTCTCGCTTCTTATGATCTCATGGTTCTTCTTACGATTGCGGAATGCGCGACATCGACGAGTGAGCCTCCGCTAATGTCGATGAATGCAACACAAGGCGCGCGATGATTTACACACGTCGCTTTTGGCGCGCGTTTTAGTTTTTACTTCCCACGTCCTCTGTGTGCTTCACGCGCCGCTCGATAACGCCGACACTTTCGATCGCTGCGAAATGACACGTCGTCGACGGCTTTCCATCGCGTTTCGAGACGGGGGCCCGAAAAATTCGTAATTAGGTTAAACGTCACGCTCCGACCGCGTCGCGCATGATGAAATATTTCGTACGCCCGCTTTAAATACCGGCGGCTTTTAATGCATATAATTCTCCGATGATGATATATTATAATCTTTTTATGGCCTGCGCGGAGTGTGTACATTAGTTAGCGCGTGATTTAACTTTCATTTCCCACGTTTGCCTCCCCGACCGATCGATAACTCAACGTTCGGAGTCGAGAAGTGGCAAAAACGTCCGGTACTTCTCGTCTGACACATCTGCATCTAGTAAAAAAAAAATATCAAGCTTTCTGTGCCGTAATTATTCTTTTTTGCAAATGATTTACTACGAATAGACAGTCATCCTCTTCATCATGTAATTTATTCTTGCTCATATTATAAATATATATATACCTATATATATATATATATTTTTTTTTTAATAAATTCTATATTTTCTTTTATTGTATAATATTACTTTTATTAGAAAACTGTTTATTAGGAAATAAGGATATAAGATTTGTATTTTATATTCCTTTCGCATCTCGCATTATCGTTGCGTGCGTTTGGCGAAATCAAACGTTCGAACGTTTGAGACTGGACATTGCACGAGGACATAAATAGCATTCTCTAATCTGTACAATGCACATCCGCGTATCCGTTCTTCGCATATTTACCTAGAAATCGCGACGGTGTGCGTGATTCTCGGACGCGATCTATGCGTGAGATAAATCGTACACGATCGGAGCCGATACGCGAAATTCGCTTGCCCGCTCCCACATTACCATCCCACAGACAGGCGGTTTGCCACACTCGAAGGATCCGCGTGTTGTACAGAGCCGTATGCACGACATTCGATCGGCGGCTCACCTAACGCGGCCCAGTGACCCAAATAAGCCACGGTTTGCTTATGATCGAAGCGGTTTCCGTTTCTCCTCAGGCCCAATCATGCCTCCTCCGAGAGGTCCACCTTCTTCTTCGCAGAGGCGGAGTCCCCTTTCTTCTCGCTTCTGATGCTCGTGTGTATACAGCTCCTGTCTTATATCTGCAAACATCGTCGGCAAACATCCTGATGTTCTTCTTCATTTCATCTCAGACGCAATCTCGTGAATTTAGATAATATATATACATTCCAAATAACGTAAAGTACCATTTGAGTTTCTTGCGAGAAATATTCTGAAACTGAAAATCGGCGATTTAAATGCAAAAGCTCTTAGGATTTTATTTTGTCTTAATAAATAAACTGCAATTATAACGAATAACGTTTAAAATTGATCATGTTTTACAAAACTTGATTTGTTTTAGGCTTAATTCTAAACGCAACAGGTCATGGCGAAACTCTTTTTGTTCTTTCTTCCCTCAACGTTTTGCCTAGCTTGTCTCGTCCACTTTCCTTCGCGACGCGCTCTCCTCCGGCTGCTGCCGTTAATTATCCCCGCATATTTTCCGCTCGCTGATGGGTCGTGGTGGGACGATTAGCCATTTATCACGCGCACGTAGAAGCGATCTAATTATCAGCAAGATCTTCGACGTGCACGTCGTCGTCATAAATTCCCTCTAAGAAACACGCTTTGCTCCTCGACAGCATGTGTGTGACAAGTGAAACGATCGCGACAGACATAAGACCGTGACGGAGGGTGACATCGAGTCAGAGAGATCGTATATGAGTCAGATTATGCAGATGAGGTTAAGCCTCGATTAGGAAAAAGGAAGGAGAAATCGGTAAATGCAATCGAATTTATCTTCTTCCCGGATCGCGATTTTTCGATCGGGTCGGTATTTTATTCTGCGTAACGGGGAGTAACAATAATAAGATTGATATCTGCCATTTAAGAACTTCTCGGTGCATTTGGATCCAGTTCCAGGCTCTACGTTGCCGCAAATTGCCGTTGTCGCTTTTGACAACCTGCTTCATATACGAGTTTCCCCATTTTTTGTCACCTCTTCCCGTTCACGCGAATACGTAATTGAGACAAGTGTCTGTAATATATTTTGACATCTCGGGGATATTAGGTCTGTTACATTCCGCATTCTTTTTCATCGCAACTGTCCAACCGGCTGAAATGGTATACCGCTCAAATCACCGTACGGACGATTAATACTTTGACCAGAGCGAGCATTAAGTCGTCATAAGCAATAATTCCCGGAGCGATACGTCCATCGTTTGTTTGAGAGTTCTGGAGCATGACGGCAAATGTGGCAATACCGAGCGAGAGCACGCGTTCGACATGGACCGATCGTTATCAAAGGATCATTCCTGTCGTATGATCGTTCGGTTACGTCATAATGAAGACCGTGCGATTGCACAACGTCGTGGAATATCACGAGCATTGGTGGAGATCTTCTTGCAGGGGCATTGCGTAAGACGTGACTAATCGTGGCGAGAGTCGTCGATCTGTGCGAGCACAGTATTGTCCTGTTACATCTGCCGTACGAATTGATGATCGAAATGGAGCAAAACATATTCTCGGCGCGACACGTTCACGTATCGCGCGTATAATATTACTGCGCGATATTGCCATAAATAACTCCCGTGTGGCTGCGAAGTCAAAAACAGCCGCGCCAGCTTTAATTATCCGACGAATTCGGATGCGCGGCGATTACTCACTGTCCATCGTTATTCACTACATACTGACATTCTAACAGTGTCTCGGACAACGATATACATACTATTTTTCGAGAATGGACTTGATAACGGCTGTTCGATGCAAATCTTTTAGTAGAATCCCATTTTTTTTGTGTCTGATACTTCAACGTTAATAATGCGAGAGCAATGCGCAGAAATATACAGCTGTTAAAAGAAAAATTGAAATTTTCAAATACATTTTCGCCTCGTAAATATTAGTCTTTGAAGGAAAAATTGCGGATTCGAGAGAGAGTACGAGATAATTGTTACGTCCAGTGTAAATTATGTCTTCGTTCCTTTTAAGACCGGTTACGTTTTAAAGCATCATTTCTTGTGTATGGTCTTGCCTGCGACTTATTTGACAGCTCGTTAAAAAGAAAGAAGCACCAAAACGATTGCAATTGAAAGCTAGAGCATCAATCAACAACGACGTTTCACTTCATCGCTTTTATTCCCGACACTAATATTAAAATGATAATCACGTTAAAATAAAGATAATCCAATATCTTAAATGAGCTAAATATTTGAAATATATTTTTGCGTTTTGAAATATTTAATGAAATCAGTTTTTATCATAATAACTTACATAAGTGTAATCCGTTTCTCTAACTAAATAAAAAAATTAATTATTTGCTTATAATTTATATCAATGACGGTTTACGGACCAAAATTAAAATCTGTGCTCGATTTTGAAATTGCAGGTACTATCGTGGCTTTGCAAGAAAGGCGAGGACATTCTGTCGAAGCACGCCCAGCACACAGCGACGAATTTGACGTCGGCGCGTTTTCACGAGCGAGAATTCGAGAAGTTTTACTTCACATCGATGGTAAGTAACGTTGATTGTCCCATAGCAGTTAATGGAATCGAAAGGAGAGCCCCAAGAGAGGAATCGAGTAGCTCTTCTAAGAGAAGATTTCACTTTTTTCGCGACCCATTGAGCCGCCCGTCATGCTTCGATGCGAAAGAAATTCCGTCGTGGAGGACTCGAAAGGTGGCTGCAATAAGCGCGAGATAATAAAAGATTCCTTTGTGACAGCCGGACTGTTGCAAAGACCCCTGCCAAGTGTGCGGACTTCCTCCTTTTTTTTTATTTATCTGCCAGCGAAATGAAGAAAGAACGCGGAAAGAGTGACGACGCCGAAAAAGAGGGAGGCGAAAATGATTATTTCTCTCGCACCTGTAGACTCAATATGGTCAGATAGCGCGTTCTTGCATATGTGGAATAGAATATGGTGCAAAACGATGAGGATATTTACTTTAGCTGTACATTCATTCTTGCAGAATGTTTACGCAAATTAAAACCATAGGATCAAGAGCAGGATCTTAATCCGCTTGAACGGATTTATCTCTGGCCGGTTATTTCGTGGAAGTCGAGTTGGTGATTTTCGAGATGGTGTTCTTTGGGTGATATGTCCGGTTATTTGTATTAATTATCATTGCTATTTGTCTCTGAGAAACGGTTTCACGTGAAAATGGGATACGTGTAGCGTCAGTGAAAGACTGACAGTGAACATTTATTTTAAAAATATATAAATGATCCATATGATTTTTATTTGGAGATTAATTTATACTATCTCGAAATACGCGAATTATCTGATGCATATAGGTATAATTCGTTTGTACAGGAAATAGCGATATAAATATATTTAATAAAAAATGTTTGTGAAATAGTTTATCACAGTTGTATTTTTAACTGTTTTATATTTTTGATTCAAGTAATTCAAGTATTGTTTAGAGTAGTAAAATAATAAAATAATTTTATATTTATTTTTTTTTTATTTTCATCAATATTCGTTGAAGAATAATTTTTGAATATATATCTCAAAATTGATAAATATTAAATTTTTTTTTGTAATTTCCACGCATTATCCATAATGCTAATATAACTATAAATGTAACAGATCACTATATTATCTACTTAACTGCAAATCTAAAGTTCGTTTTCCACTCAGCCGGTAACAGATTTCTCTTTAACATTTTTTTATTATACTTCTATAACATTAAATATATTTATATTTTGAAATAATATTATATGAAATTATTTGAAGTTTAGGATTAATAACAGCAACATTATCGTAACATGTTCATTATCGTAATTGTTTTTAAATATCGATCGTTAGAGCTCTCTCTATGATCGGTATGGTCGATCGGCTAATCTTGTGGCGCCGTCTACTGGAGTTTCCGTTGAATGTTTCACTAACCGAACAAACCGTCATAACCGACTGAGCGTGGTGCGAAAATTAAAATAATTCGAGGAGGTTGCAAGTGCATTATAATAGTGATAATTATTTTCCTCTTGACACCTGCCGCTTAGTTAATCGGCGGAATCTCGTCGAGATTGTGTGATGAGCTAATTTCATCGTGGCTATTAGTTTAAAGTAGCGGAGACTGTTTCTTTGAATAAGTTCCGCAATTAGAGTCGTACAGTTACTACGTGTTAAGATGGATGATGGAGAGTCGATTAACATTCTATACAGCGCGAGTGAAACTTGAATCTCCACTACTAAGTGCATACCGATGTTTTTTTCTTATCAATTGATGGCGTGGTAGCATATCCGCGGATTCTTAAGCTTCCGTCCTCTGATAACGGATGTTAATAGACCTGTTGTGATCTTGATCTTTGAACTGACGGTTTTCCTGTGATTTCTCGAAACTTTCACGAGAAGTCGATATCGTACAATTTCTTAATTTTTATAGTCTGAGATTGGCTAAAAGGTTATCAATTGAATCGTCATATTCTTTTCTGTTTAAACAAATTCTTCTCAATTCTTTGATTACTTGTAGATATTAAAAATAATTAACTTTTTTATTGTCACTTAATTGTAATTTTATTTAGAAATGACACAAAGTGAAAGTATAATACACATTCGATGTTGAGAGTAATTACTTGTATCGCATAATGTAAATGCAAAAAAATATTCAAGTGATAAGAAAGAGCCAGACAGGATACGCATTTTTGTGAGCTCAATTAAACGCGATTACGTGAAATTCAGTATAGTAATTAAACGGGAACGATCGTAAATGTTACGCTATCAGAGTTATGCGACGAGTCACACAACTTAGCGCGATAATAACACGTTGGCCCTCGGCCGGTCCACATCGTGGAAAATTTATTGCGAAAGAAATCGGCGTTTCGCGGGCCGTTTTTCCTTTTTTGCGAAAGACTAAACTTTCTCTTGGCGGTAATGCCGAAGTATTACGCGTAGCGCAGACAGTTTCAGGGCGCAATAAAGGCCCATCGATGATCCGACGGACAGTTGTTACTTAATTAATCAGTCTCACAGCGATGTGAAACGTCGGGCCGAACGATCAGACGAGATATAAAAGCCGGGCCCCGGTCGGCCGACGGACGATCCAACGCTCGGTTGTGTGTGCGTGGACGTTAATTAATCACGTTGCACCCACTTCAATTATCCGTTTCATGCAGGATGCGCTCGAGCGCGTGGGTCATTATCCAAAAACGTACCCATCTCTCCGTGCCCTCCCCATTTTCTCCTTTCTTTCTCTTTATACCTCTTATGCGGCCCAATAACCCCCATTGCTACCCACACGCTGTCATATAATTGTCACCGATTATTGCCGCGATGGTCGAATTCGCGCATTATTTGGGTCATCTCGACGGAACTGGAACGGAGTTATTGGCGATTTATTATTGAATGATTCGCGCGCGTTTCGATCCTGCACGACGAGCGGGCGGTATATGGAGCATCGGATAATTACACGACGGCGGGTGCGTCAATTGAAGCCGCCGTAAGTTTAACGGCGTTGAGAATTGCGCCCGTCTAATTATTTGGGAAAGACGCGCGATATCGCGCGTACCGTGTCTTTGCGGGAATTAGTATTCGGTCAAATCGGTCGACCGATTTTACGTTGCGTTATGTTACAAGAAATATTTGCTAAGATAATCGAGACATATTTCGTAACCGGCTATCTCAGCTCGGTTTTTTCCGCCAATATTTTCTACGAGCATTGCGACGAATAATAAACGACCATGAATAAAGCCAACCGTATAATGCAGTCGCTGATAAGAACGGAAAAATTACCGCAGACCTTGAGTGAGGTAAACGACGAAAAATAGAGCCGCGTTCAAAGTACAAAATATTTTTAGCACGACAGTGGGACAGGATAATGTCGAGGAACTGCCAGGGAGGAGTATTCGTAACAATGTAGACGGTCGTTCTCGTAACCCAATTACATGGCGCACCGCCGGCGGAAAAGGCGAGGAAGTCACGCCAGGAATAAGAACGAAGCATTATGTCGGCACCTATAATGCCATGGCGATGATCGCAATTCATGCGAAATCATGGCCGATTCTGCTTCTTAGAAAGAAATTCCATCGGGTTTAGAAACCGCCGCCGCGCCGTTACTTCGCGAATCGCGGCGTGATCGCGCGCGATTGTTGCGAGCGCGCCTCGTGAACACTCGACATCGAGTGTAATGTACTCTGAGGAATTTGGTAACGATCGATCGATCGTGAAAGTGGCAACAGTCGTGCGACCGAAATGCATACGAAAAACGGAATCTTACTTGCGACGCGCTATTAAACGCTCGATTAATTCTATCAACTTTAGAACTTACTCTGAAAAAGATAATTAAAGTATTGAAGCATGTTTAAAAAAATATCCCGAATAAATTATTCACACGCAACTACTATTTTAGCTATCATATAATTCCATCTTTATGAACAGGATATGCAATTTGTAATCGCACAATACCGATCTAGCTAAGTTTTACACGGAAAGAACAATTTTGCTAAAGTATCAAAAATTTAGCTGTGTGCAGAATACAGATTTGAAAATAATTTTGTTGAACTATCAAAATAATTATGTAGAACGCTCAAACATAATGATGCTTGCAAAGAGTTTTGATGTTCTGGCAATCAGCTTGAGCGTTCTACATAATTAGTTTGATGATCTAACAAAATTATTTTCTGATTAGTATCTAGCTAAATTTTTAGATATTTTAACAAAATCCTTCTTTTTGCGTACAAGTTTAATTTATTAATTTACGAGTATGTTCCGTATTTTTTATAATAATTCAACAATGCGCTACGATGATTTGACAATGATCACAATTTAACAATGTCGCAAATTAACTGTTATTATACTTTATGCATACTTTGATATAATAAATTGCATTGATATCTATAACGCATGAGAGATTTTCGCGAAACGACTACAACACGACTACGTTACATCCGGTCAACGTGCTCTACGATACCACCGGCGTTGAGCGCGTGTCACGAATCGCGATCGGGAAACCGTTTCAAAATCCAATTGCAAAAGCGCGAATCGGCACAAGGCGGTTATGCTCGTTAGCTCGCCGTACTTCTCTTACCCGATGCGCATCAACTTTCCATCATAATCGGTCGTCACGCGATAATCAAGGTGACGATGTGCTGACCGCTATCTGATGTGCCGCATAGTTGGAGAACATCCTTTTCGCAATACTTTACTTTAAGTGTTTTTACATAAATTCAGGTCGCAATTAACTGAGCTACTTAATTTACGGTTGACCTCGGTCGGGACCTCAACTGGTCAGTCGGGATAATATTGGCACATCGAATCGTTAAATGAATTTAAAAATTAAATCTTAGGTTAAAGGTTTTTAAGATAAAAAATCCAAGCAAGTTTGATCGCGTAGGAAATTAGAAAATTAGATAGATACCTACTATTAATCGAAAAACATTCAATATATACATGTTCGAAAGGATCTTTGTTCGGTTTATTAATTTAATGCGGCGAATATCTCTTTTTTTGAATAAATACATAATTTTACTACTGCATTATTCTAATTTTTTAAAATAAAATTTTAATTTTTAAGCGG